TTGACATTTAACCTAAACGAAGAAACCCATTTCAATTCTTTATAATTAGGGAATTCATATTACCATCACAAAGAGTATGAAAGATGGAGCAACAGTTCATTCATACTTTGAACGTGCGAGAGATGGACAATTCATTCTGTCATGTCCACTCCCTTTGCAAATTATGCACTTTCAGGTAACTTCCTTCTCTTTCGCTTTCGCTTTCTCTGCCTCTATCTTAGCCCAATGTACATATCTATCATTGGTAGGTCTCCCCTTTGTTTATGCCTGAGGGGGCTCAAGGATGTTATAACTTGCATGTCCCTCAACCTCAATGCGGTTGCTACTGTCGACATTCACATTCTCAGTACGACTACTGCAAAGGTTCTTAATAACACCACGTGGTAACACCGCACCCCCAATTTTGGCCTCAACCTTTTCAACTGTACTTGCTATTTCAGACATTATAAATGCATGGAGTTCTAAACTTTCTGAAGCATGCTCAGCTAGTACTCTAGTGGCTTGACAAAGCTCATTAAAACAAATGGAACGGGGTTGGTTAAGTTTAGTTGGTTGTCTAGCAGCTTCTCTGTAAATTACATTGAAACCCTAATTCTAAAACCATCATGTCGTAGAATAGAACTGATGGCTTAGAGTCGAATCTTATTTGAGGTCCTCATCTGAACATGCAGTCCCTATGAATGATAAATGAGAGACTATCTAGTTACAACCTTGCAATCTATATAGACTATCCAGCTAAAATTTGAAGCACAAACCTAAAATCTAGTAGCTTCTCTATAAATTACATTGAAACCCTAATTCTAAAACCATCAAAGTCCATACAGTTAAAATTTGAAGCACAAACCTAAAATCTAGCAGCTTCTCTATAAATTACATTGAAACCCTAATTCTAAAACCATCAAAGTTCATACAGTTAAAATTTGAAGCACATAAAAAAATTTACTTGGCATATTACAGAAACCCGTCACATTCCATCATCTCAATAACATAAATTACCGAATCTAATAAGGCCATGATATTTACATCAACACTAATACATCCATAAAATTAAAGTAAAGTATAACATCCATTTGTGCATATGTGCAAAAAAAAAAACACAAAAAAAACAAAGCAAAACATTTTATTCTAAAACCATCAGAGTCCATACAGTTAAAATTTAAAGCACAAACCTGTATAAAAAGGTTCTCTGTATAAAAAGGTTCTCTAGCAAGTTCTTTGTATAAAAAGGGTAAAATAACTCAATGCAATCAATCTGGTTGCAGAGAGAGAAGGGGTACAGTTTCCTGGTTGTGGAGAGAGCGAGAGAGGATTATATGGGAGAGGGAGCATGGGTTCAAAGCTTTTACCTCCTGGTTGTAGAGAGAGAAGGGGCACGACTTCCTCCTATGAGAAGTCATACAGAGTTTGAATAAAAATGTAAATCCTATTACATATTTTTATATTTTTACTTTACATTTTTACGTAATAAATATGTAAATCTTTAAATCAATAAATCGTCAATTCTGTAAATTTCAAATATTTGCTTATGTAAATTTGTAATATTTTTTACAAAGCAAATCTATAACAAATAATTGCTTCAACTTTTCAGATCTATAGATTAAATTTATAAAGTCAATTTTGATAGTAAATCTGTAAATCAATTTTACAGGGTAATGTAAAACCTGTAAATTGATATTTAAAGTATTTTTTACAGAGCAAATATGAAACACATAATTGCTTCAACTTTTCAGATCTACAGATTAAATTTATAAAGCCAATTTTGATATTAAATTTGTAAATCGATTTTACAGGGTAATGTAAAACCTGTTAAATTGAAATTTAAAGTATTGTAAATTTGTATATTGATATTTATGATTAATGCAAACAAGTAAATCTATAAATTGATTGTTAGATCACAGAGAGAAGCAAAAATTTGTAAATATGTAAATCTGTACAAACCTACAAGTTGAGATTTCAGAGTAATGTAAATCTCAAGATAAGTACTTTGATTCAAAGATCAGAGGTGTACCATACATGTGAGAGAGAGATGGGGTACAACCGAGAGAGATAAGCTTCGGGCATATGGGGAAAATGATGACGAGAGAGAGCAACAATTTTCCTTCTTATGACATTACAGCTTGAGAGTCCTGAGATAGATAATGCAGTTGAGAAGAGAGAAAGAACTTGGAGGAGAAATCAGGTAGTTGAGAGAGAACGAGAGAGGCAGCTTGCGGGAGAGGTAAAGAGAAGGAGCTTAGGGGAGAACTCAGGTAGTTGAGAGAGAACGAGAGAGGTAGAGAGAAGGAGCTTGGGGGAGAACGCAAGTAGCTGAGAGAGAACGAGAGAGGCCACTACTCGTCGAAAACTTCAAAAGAGCGCTCTCCCCTCACAGTTAAAGTAAACTTGTGCTTAAGTTTTTTTTTTTACCTTTGGTGAAAAATAAGGGAAAAAAAT